TTTACCTCTTTAATTTCATACTGACACTTTTCAGTCAAAGGAAAAAAAGATAAGATCTTACCCTGTGAATGAATTGTTCCTACTTTCTTCCTGACAGAAAATATCATTTTCATTATATAATTGAGTTATAAAACTTGAAGGGTCTTTTATTTTAGTTTGGTATGCTATTTTATCATTGTGAACATGATACTTGCAGATTCATACTCAGATCTCTCAATGGTCAGTTCCTTTTTTGTGACGCTTGGCTCAAATATGAAACAAAGAACATGATCTAATTAGAAAGATCATTGGTACAATTTGTATGAAATCAATACAAAATTCTTGGTTGCTATTATGAATCTTTTTTTATTGCTTTTAAAAAGACATGAATTCAAATTAGCCTTTTATTTTAACTATGGTTTGTCATGAAGTACAGAAGAAAAAAAAGGTAATATTCTGTAAATATAACTAAATTGTAGGTTAAATAAAGTTCTAAAAAATGAAGAGTCACATTAGAAAGAATTATCACCATTACAGCCTTTGTTTGATTACTAAGTTAAGCAACATTCTGCATATTGATATGAAATGTGGGACAATTGGAAAATTTCAGATTCTTGGAGCCAAAAACTGTAAAAACTGGTTTATTCTTATAAACAAAATTAAAAAATATCAAATCATTTCAATGGGTTTTGGTAATTAAAATAAATCAGATTTGAAAATGCCTAATTGGATTTAAAGAATCGTATTAAATGAGAAATGAAGCATAGAAAAAAATGGCTGCAGACATTTGAATTTTCTAACATGTTGACTCCAGGCGAGCAATGAAGATTACATATTTCAGGCCAAGTACTACTTTGGTGCTGATGTTTACAGCCAGTACCTAGTAGCCATGGAGATCAACTGAATTGGCTCTCAACTCAATTTGGAAATGGAATAAAGCTTGGATTTAATAAGCATTGAAGCAGAAAAGGGCATAATAGCAAGCTAAAGAGTAGCTTTTTTTTTTGCATATTTTGTAACTTTGAGAATCTATAGAATGCTGTCAGAATAAAAGAAAAGATTACAATCAAGATACCTGCTCATAATCTAAGATTTTTAATTAAGCTAACTAAAAACATTAATATATTTATAATGCTAACAGAATTAAAAATAGTATTTTGTGATGTGAATTTCAATATTATTTACCAACAGATTCTTTTATATGGAGAGTAGCTTCAAGATATATTGTCCTGGCATATGAATCCATGTTAAATATATGATGATGTAGATATGAATATGTTTGAGTTATACAAGAGTATAACTCAAATGTAGGCACGGTGGTGTAATGGATAGCAGCTTGGATTGAGGAATTGGAGAGCCAAGTTTGAATTTCACTCAAATCCATTACATTCACTTATGTGCTAATTCTCCTCCTCTCCCCACAGCTATGGGTAAGTAGCAGGACAGACCAGGTTTTATAGACTTGGATGGCAACTGGTCTACCACAGAAAGAAATGGCAACCTACTGCGGGAAAAAATCTGCCTCATCAGTCATGTATCGAAAGATATGTGATCGCCTAAGTGTGTATCACGTATGGCACATAATGGACTGATAACTTCAATGTAGTTGTAGTTTCTGTTCACTTGTGTGAGAATCAATTTCACTGTATTTCTCATTGGTTCTTTGATGTTTGCTTTAGCAACAATAAATCTCTTCTTCTTCTTCTTAATTTCTTGTGCTCTTACCATTCATCCACTACAGAAAACCGACACTTGACTATGTGCTGATCATAGGATCTAAAACTATTTGTCTTCCCTCCTCTGTAATGTAATTTTTATATTTTTTTAACAGTTGGAAATTTGTATGTTACCAACAAAATCTCATATCTACAAGAATGTAACATTCTTAAATATTCACCATTATGAGCAGCCATCATTTTTGTCGGTTGGATTTCTTTACATTTGATGCATGTGTGAAGTCTTTGTGCCGATTGTAAGTCATTTTTTTTCTTAATGAAAGGACAATATGAATAATGACAAAAGGAAAATATATTTTAACTGATGTGTTTTGTCCTCTGATGGACTTTATCAAGGCAAATATAAAGATTTTATTTCATGACAAGTATTTATAGACAAGAGAAACATTTTTGGCATAGGGGTGTTCATGAATATTCATCAGATTAGCTGAAAAGTCAGGCAAGTTCATGGACGTGAGGTGATTCAGTTCAATGCCTAATAAAAGAAGGTGAGTAGGAAGTTTTTTTTTTTTTAATGTATGTATATATATATATTTAAATTAGTATTTAATAATTTTGGATTGGGATTCATCTTGTATATAAATACTTGTCACAAAATAAAATCCTTACACTTGCCTTGATAAAGCCCCTCAGAGGATAAAACATGTCAGCTAAGATAAGTTTTGCTTTTGTCTATTTATTTATTTATATATATATATATATATATATATATATATATATATATATGTGTGTGTGTGTGTATTTGGGTAATAACCTTTCTTTTAAACATCTTCATTAAATATGACAGACAAGGAAAATTTCATGTTTTTTTTTTATTTAGTTTTTCCAGCATTCATACATTCTTCTCTTTGGTGGGAATAAGGGAGTGCAAAAATTGTCCATATTGTTTATTGTCTCAAGTGCTTTTAGCCATTTTCAAGGGGGTGTTGTTAATCTTTTGATGATCTAAAATGTATTTTATTTTTGTAGTTTTGAATGCTAGTAGGTGTGTTTATTTTGAGCCCATGCATGTTGAGCATAGCAGGAATTCAAGTGAGCATCTTTTGTAACATATATATATATATATATATATATATATATATATATATATACACACACACACACACGCACGTTTCATTAAAGATGACTGACAAGATAGTGTGATTAAGCTTTTTATTTAAACACACGCAGAAACCTACCAAACTCTGTCTGCAACATACTTGTAGAAAATACAGATATAATGACTCATCTTCATGTAAAAAAAAGATTAAAAATAGTGGAAGCATTCTTAATAAAAAAGAAAAGGCCAACACTCAATATCATCAACTATGACCAAAGTGTTTGGAAAATAAAAAACATTCCTATCACTTTTCATATATAAATATTTTCACATACAGTTAAAAATAAAAAATATCTTTGCTAATGGCTAATGGAATAGCCAAAAGTGTGTGTGTGTGTGTATATATATATATATATATATATAGAGGGAGAGAACATTTGGACAATTTTTACACATTTTACAGTTGCCTAAGAAAAGATTTTAGCCAGGAGAAATAAACTACATCCAATTTCAAAATTTAATTATGTAATCCCAACTCAACATAAATAAACAGTATTTGGAACTAGTATGAAGTAGGTCCTCCATTTGCTAGTTTCAGTACTTGTATTTGATTTTTCATGGATTTGATCAAGTTATCAACAATCGTCTGATCCATATTTTGCCATTCCTTTGGCAATATATCTTTAAGGGTTGCCAATGACGTGATTTTGGTTGCATGCTCTCAGTTTTGATCAAAGTGCTCCCAAACATGCTCTATTGGATTCATGTCAGGAATTTGGGTTAACATGGAAGTGATTTGATTCCTTGTGATTCCTTCCAGGCCTTTCTACTTTGCTCGTATCACATGGTACTCCATCTTCTTAAAAATAGTAGACATTCTTGTCAAGCTGATTGGGTTCAAATAATCAGAGTAATCCTTTCTCTAAGATTTGACAGTATTTTAGACCATTCAACTGCTCGTCAACAAGAATCAGCTCAGAATTCCCTCCAAACCAGCCAGCACTCCACACCATTACTCCAATCCCTCCATGTTTCACGGTTGTCTGCAGACATTCAGTGTTCCAAGTCTCATTCTGATTTCTTAAACTTATCTCGAATTCAAATATTGGCAGAATTTACTTTCATTTGACCAAATTACAGACTGCCAAAATTCATAATCTTTGCTCTCAAATTCTCTTGCTCAGTCTATACGCCTGTTCCTATTAACTACTGAAATCAAAGGCTTCTTTCTTGCAACTCTTCTTTGATAGCCTAGCTCTTTCAGTGTCTTTCTCACCACATATGGTGACATATCCATGCTGTTGGCAACATCTTTGATGCTCTGAAGACAGTTTCTGTTGAATTCCCTCTTCAGCACCCTTTTTCCTTTGCTCAGACATGATGTTTGGTCTTCCTGAACATTGTTCCACCTGACAATGGCCTTCTTCATTAAATTTCATGACAATATTATTAACCCTTTGATGATTAACCTGGAAAACCTAGCAATTTCTCTGTTTGACTTGCCACACTGATGCCATCCTATTATTTGCCCTCGTTGAAATTCACCAATTTCCTTACTTCCACGAACTTTCATTGCAAAATAATAATCAACTATCATTCATAGATAGCTTGGTACTAAGACGGTATTGTCTGAAAAAAAAGAAGAGATGTTATTGCACAAGTCAAAATTGCTGTAAACAAGGGTGGCTAAAAACTTATCATAGCTCACTGTATGTCCAGGAAAGAAAATGCTTACATGAACACAAGAAAAAAAAAAACCAGCACCTTGTCAGTCGTCTTTCATGAAACTTGTATAAAAGAGGGATTGCTGCCCAAATACACAATATATATGAGACAGAAAGATGAATGTGATAGAAACAAACATATGTTGATAGTAAGTGGGAAAGAAAGACTACATTCAATAGAAACAGACTGTCATAGATATGTAGGTAAAAACATAAACTGATTGACCCCCTATATTTATATTATACATTTTGTATATCTATTTTATATATCTATTAGTAATGATTCCTAAAATAGCACTTAGTGAGGGTCAATTTTCAATTTGCCTTAATGCCATTTCTGTGTTCCACTGAGATGCCAAGGAAACCAGCTGGCTGGGTTGACAAATGGCTGCCAAGGATTACGTGACTTAATCCCATGTTGCAGATTGTTTTAATCGTGACTAATTAAGAATTAAGATTATTTTCAAACCTCAGCTTGATTTAAGTGAAAAATGATGCCAATGATGTAAAAAGATATTTTTTTTAAATCAGAGGAAATAAAAAAAATAAAAAATGTATGGTGAGTGATGAGGTGAGAAAAGATGGAGAAAAAATAATATAAAGAGAATGAATAAGACAAAAGGGGGAGAATGAGTGAGAAAGTTGAAAATGGAAGGAAGATGGAATAAAGAAGGTGGAAGAGAGAGAGAGAGTGTGTATAAGTTGAAAAGGGGAGAAAGTGTGTAAGTCTAAAGAGGGAGAGAGTGACTGAGGAGGATAGGAATGAGAGAATGAAGATGAAAGGGAGAGAATGAGGAAGATTAAAGGTGGAGAAAGAATGGTAAAATTGAAAGTGGGAAGAAAATAGAATGAGGAGGGTGAAAGAGTGTGTAAGGCAAAAGGGAGAGAAAATGAGGACTATGGATAGGAGAGAATGAAGAAGATTAAGTGGGGGGGAAAGAGAATGGTGAAGTTGAAAGTGGGAGGAAGATAAAATAAGGAGGGTGAAAGAGAGACAGTGTAAGGCAAAAGGGAGAGATAAGATTTGAATGAAAAGGGAGAGAGAGGAAGGATGAGGAGTACAAAAAGGGGGAAAGAGAGAATGAGGAGAACAAAAGGGGACGACAGAGAGAATGAGAATGAAGGAGATGAAAGGGGGAGAAAGACAGAATGGGAAAGAAGTGAATAAGTGTCAAACAAAAAAATGAAGATTAATTTTGTCAAAGTAAAACGTGAAAATAAGAGGGCAAAAGACATTTTCAGATGGAAATAAATAAAAAATGATACTAAGAAAGTAAACCAGAATAAGAAAGCAATTATCAGCGATAAACAGCCAAAGTTTCCTGGAAGTGACAAAAAAAAAAAAAAGGAATGAAAAATGAATGAAAGAAAAAAAGGCAATTTGAAAGGAAGAATTATAAAAATCAGAAATAAAAATGAAGGAAATTCAAAGGCATTAAAAAAAATGTAGAAAAAGAGAATAATAAGTCATTAAGCAAGAAAGGGAAGAATATTGAAAAGGAACATGACAAAGAAAGTTGAATGAAAGATTTTAATAAACTAAAGAAAAATAAGGACAAATTTTAAGAATTAAAAATGAGAATGAAATAAAAAAAAGAATAGAAAAAGGAAGGAAAAGATAAAATATAAAATTAAAAATGTTAAGTTAAAAAGAAAATTTGATAAAAAAATAAAACGAAAGAAATAAAATGAGGAAAGAATGAAATGTTTGAAATGAAATACACATGAATCAACTTTTTAAAAATGATAAATGATGAGAAAAAACTTAAAATGAAATAAATAAAAGCATTCAAATGAAATAATAAAAAAAAATAAGAAAATGGAAGAAAACTGTGAATGCAGAAAGAAAAGGAAAAGCAAGAAAAAGAAGAAAAAGAATTGAAGGAAAGGATATAAAGAAAGAAGGTAATGGTGAAAAAAAAGCAGGAAAGAAATGAAGAGGCAAACAGAATTGGCCAATGAATGCAAGATTCACTAAATGAGAGGTTACCATAGTGAAATGCTATGTGTGATCTTGGAATATGGTAGGGGGAAAAGGCAAATATTTTCTCTTTTTCTCCTTCTATCCTTTACATATTTGATTCCAATGTCTGTTGAAGAAATTGAAAATTCTGCTATTTGGCAAATAACGCTTTTTTAACACTTAGCAGATTTTAACTAATTTTGCTCAAGTTGATGCTTATTATGTGGGGAACATGTAAATTCTTGATCATTAATAACACCAATGATTGTTTTTCTTTTTTTCAGAAGCTAATATAATTCTAATAAATTAATATTGAATCCAATTCAGTATAGGTTATATAAATCACTGTTCATAAAGTATAAATTGGTAGGAGTAAAAAAGGATTTTTTTATGAACTTCAAAATAATATATTTGAGATGTCTCTTATACATTTGGTACTGAAGTGGGTGATTGATATCTTCATCTTGGATATCTTGCACCAACAAATTTTTTCTATGTTTCTGAATGTTAAAATTATTTTTTATTAGGTACTTCTATGTGCCTTGTCTCTTTAAAATGTAGGCAATCATGGCTCACCACATCTTCTTATCCTTTGTAGCTCTTATCAATGTTTTTCTTTTTTAATCTATTATAAAAAAAATTATAGGAGATAATGTAATTAGACATAGGGTAGGCTGCCCTGGGGATAATTTTCTCTAATGCCACAGGAAGATAACACTATTAATTGAAGAATTTAAGTCAAGCTTACATCTAACTGAATCAGAAATGTCTAAAATATTAGCTTTTTTTTTTTTTTTTTTTTTTTTTCATTCAAAGCAAGGAAATAAAGCCACTAATATGTAAGGGGTTACTGAAAAAAAGACATTATTAAGGAGAGAGAACAATAAAAGAATAGGAATTAAGAAGACAAGATAAGGATTGACCTTGCATGTAAATTTTTGCAGATGAAATTTGACCGGAAAACAAGAAGTCAGAAGAGTTCCATAAGTGAGAAGTGCGAGAGAAGGAACTGTTAGCATAGAACTTGCGGTTCCATCTTGCCATTTCAACTGTAAAATAATGAGACCATGCCACCAATCTATCACTGCACTTAAATTAATAAAGTCTAGGTACAAAGGTGGAACGTTTATCAGAATAATTAGCATGAAAATATTTGTAGAAAAGGCAGAGGGAAGCTACATTATGGTGGGAAAGGACTGAAGCTGAGATGCTAAGTCAGGACCAATAACATTGCAGATTTTTCTTTGGATTTTATCCAGAATCTTTAAATATATAGCAGAAGCACCAGACCAGATGTGGCAGCAATATTCAATGCATGGATGAATGGTAGATATTAATTATATACAATTATTTTCTCTGATCATGATGATCATAAAGGGCTTCAAACGAATGAATAATTTAGGTTTTAAAGAAGACAAGCTTTCATCAGATCTTATAGATTGATGCTACAAAAACCCAAAGAACTTTATTAAATAACAAAAACTGTGTCACTTGAAACCTTCCAACAGCAGCAACAACTAAAATGAATAGCACAGGTAACTCAAAGAGAAAATAAGGATCAAGATGTTGACTTTCAACACTACCTTAAACAAAAGGTTAGCAAGGAAACTCCCATCAATAATTGGAAGAGTAATAACAATAAGCTTGAGAAAGCCATTATCCTGAAAAATTCTTTTCAGAGAAAGCTTTTTACAAATTTCAACTGACAGTAATGCTGTCTGGTCAATGAATGCCAAATGTTTCCTGTATGAAAACGGTTAATCTCACCATTACTATTTTGCTATTATTCTCAGACCCTGTTCTGCCATCAATTTACAGGTTAGATAGGTGATAATGACTTTCCATAACTTCCTATTCTTTGTATATATCTCTTAGTAAAATATACCTTTTCACCATCCCTCCCACACTCGGTTCTGCCAACCATTTACACAAGCTTGTTAGGTAGATTATTCACTGCTTTCCTCTGTAGCTTTTGTCATCAACGTGTCTTGTGAGTATCAAATTTTCTAAGCTTTCTTTCCTCATTATGTGCCCTAGAAATTTCAACTGTCTCTTTCTGATTCTAGGTGTCCTTTTTGGGTTTTTTTTTTATTTCCTTAAAACTTTGCTCACATGTTCAGTCCATGGTATTCTCAATATCCTTCTGTAGAACCAGATCTCTGTTACCTAAAGTCACCTCTTCATCTGTGAGGAAATTGTCCAGAATTTGGTACGCTATTAGAGGATAGATATTATATAGCAGTTCAAAACTCTCTTATGCATTTAGCAGATTATATTTTAAATTCTGTTCGTCAGGAGAAATTAAAAAAAACATTTTAAGTCGATATTTCAGAAATTTGATAAGTCATAGAAAAAAGAGAAAAACTGAATTGAAGAAAAAGGACTTGGATTGTTATAACATGCATTATACAAATACTTGCATAAGATATTATTACATATTATATAAACATAAATCTTATTACATATTATATAAACATAAATCTTATTACATATTATATAAACATAAATCTTATTACATATTATATAAACATAAATCTTATTACATATTATATAAACATAAATCTTATTACATATTATATAAACATATTAAATATATAAACATTATCAAATATTAAAGAATAATACTTCTAAGCTTGACTCAAATCTTTCTATAAAAGTAAAGGAATAATATCATTTTTGTACTGAATTCTTTAGTGTTGTTGTTGGTTAATATCGTAATGTTGTGTTAGTACCTTTTAAGAATAGAGGACTAAATCTTTCATATGCAAATTTATTGTTAATTCATTTATGGACTCTGTTATTGCTGTAGTCATTCAGTTAATTAAATATTGTTTCTTTATTCTAAAATTCATTGACATCTTGATGACATCTTTGAAATATTTTGGTTATCCTGTAATCTACAATCGTTTTGAACATCTGATTCTAGAAGATCATGAATAGTGCTAAAGATTTTTTACATTATTATCTAGTCTGCATATTATTTGGGACAAACCTTTTCTTATCATAAAAATAAATATATACTGGAAAAATGAAAGATGTACGCTGTCACACTTGGCTTTGGCAAATATGCCTGCTGGGGAGAGGTTGTTCTTTAAGTCTATAAAAAAGCAATCATATTCTCTCTCTTTCTCTATCTTGTTTTTTAATGTGAGAAAACACGCTACTGATATATTTTCCAGAACATACTACATTCTAACTAGAAATTCTACAAGTAGTACATATTTGTCGACATGTTAATCACTCACATCTCAACTACACCATTTAACTCTTTTTCTTTTCAGTCTATGAAGGATAGACCAGAACATACTTGAATTTTATAGACATATTAGCAAAATAAAATTCTCCCAATGTGGGAGAGGTTCTGTCGGTTATCCCATTTGGCTTTGCCAAAAACACCTGTTGGAGGGGGGCACTGTTTAAGTCTATAAAAAGGCAATCATATTCTCTCTTTAACTCTTGATTCCAGATATAGTCGATGTTGATAAAGAACGCTGCCAATAGAGGTGTTTTTCTTTTGACTTTTGAACTCTCTCACACACATAAGCACATTCTCATAGATAGTTTTAATGTCTTTTCCTTTTATATCAATTCTATACACATGGAATAACATGCATTGTCATTTGTTTTTATTCATTGTTTTGTGTTTGATTTTTACCTGGGCTCTGCCAATATTGTTATGGGATAAATATTCCAGGAGATCATAAAAATTTAATATAAAATATCTATCCATACCACTGCCAAAGAGGTAATACCCATGGCATAATGGTGACTTAGTTCTACCTAAAAATAAAATCCCACAACAAAGGTTTACTAATATAACTATTTTGTCAAATAATTTGATAGCTAGTTTAGCATGTGTGAAAGCTGCTAAATGCATCAATCTCAATTTAATTAGGAGAGAATAGAATGCTTACCTGAGTGATAAAGGTATCTAGGAATATTCAAAATGCATTCCCTCATCAGAAAAAAAAAATTTGTTAATTTTTATGCTTCTTCTAAATTCCAAGAATGTATGACTTTTTTTTCCCTTTGCCATATTAATTAAATTTTCTCTTTGGAAGTCTATATATCAAGAGAGAAGTAGAAAAATAGAAATTAATATGATAACTTCATGAACGAATAGTTTCTCCTTCAGATGCCAGGTGTTTTGTACATGTCATTAAAGTTCCATCTTGTTTAAATTAAATTTTCTTTGTAATCTTAACATTGAAGTTAATTATTAGAATCGCAAAACTGGCAATTGAGGGTAAGTATAATAGATAATGAAAATAAA